CCCCCTCCCCTGGCCCGGCTGGCACCCTCCTCCCGGAGCCGGCATTCCTCAGGAGGCCTCTCCGCGCGCCCCTCTCCAGCGCTCCCGTTTTATCGGCCGCCAGGGCATCGACTGGCCAGGCCGATCTTTGGTCTTTGACCCCAAACAGCTGCTTTCACGGGCCAGTCATCCCCGCCCCGGCTGGGCAGCAGTTTGCGCCTGGGGGTGGGGTGCGAGGAGCAGCGTCCAGATCCCCACCCCAGCAATGCGGGGAGAAGGGGAGGGGGCGCTTGTGCCCAGACAGTCCCAGCCTCAGTTGCCCAACCCAGAGATCGGAACCCTCTGAAGTCCGAGGTGGGAAGTCGCCTTATTGTCAACCTCAGCCGGGCGACAGAGAGACCTGCCGCTGGGGGAAGGGTTGGAATTCGGGGTGTAGGGCGGTCAAGTCTTCCAGCCCTGCTACCCCAACTTCCTAGACTCAGAGCTGTGCCTTGTACCCCACTCCACAACCCCAGTCACAAGCAGAGCAGACCCTTTGCCAGTGGTGGGAGCCTCCTACCCAGGAACCACCTCTGAGGTTCCCTTTCCCCACTCATGACCCCCCAGGGGCTGAGCAACTGTCTCACCCATGCACCCTTCCATCTGCAGCCGATGGCTCCCCGGCTGAGTGAGAGGGTGCAAGTCGTCTGTAGCAGGTCTTGCCAATGCTTCCTGCCTTGACTTGGGTCAAAGATCCAGCCCTCCAACCCTTGTCCCACTTTGCCTTCCTCCTGTCACACTCTCAAGGACAACGGGCTCTTCTCCCTGGGGCTCTTCACTCCCCTAAGCCTCAGGAAGTCCAAACTGTTAGAAACAGGGTGTGGGAGCCTGGGGGCTGAGGGCTGGGGGCCCAGAATGAGGAATGCGTGCTGCACTTGTGGGGCCTCCTCCCCCGAGGTGACAGGCCTCTTTCCTCCCCACCTTCAGTCACTCTGATGGACACGAGCACCGCACAGGGAGAGTTGGGCTGGCTGCTGGATCCCGAGGATGGGGTAAGTGTCAGGGGAGGGAAGGCCTTAGGATGTCTCAAGGCTGAGGGCCAGTGGGAAATGGGGTGGAGAGGTGGGTGGAGGAACAGAGAAAAGAGCAGGAAAAACTGGAAGTGTCTCCTCTGGGAGGGGGAGGGAAGATGACTCAGAGAGCCTTTTGAATGGGAAAAGGAGGGGGGGGGGGCGTCAGTCTTCACCCCATGGAGAATGCTTCAATGCCTGGCTCCTCCCCTCCCTGCCCCAGTGGGGGGTGTGGGGGGGCTGAATACCTCTGAGGACCATCTGGGGAGAAACAGGACCATCCTGGGGATGGCTGAAGTTTAAGACAAAACAGAGAAGTATCCTCAACTGAGGTCCATTCATCCCTATGGAGTTGCACAGATAGGTTCCAAGGGGTAAAATTGTGTATGTGTGTGGATGTTTTTTTCTGGAGAGGAGAACCAGAGTTTTCATCACATTCTTCAATGGGTCTGTGACTCCCCCAAATTAGAAGCTGCCTCAGTAAAAGTCCCAGAGTCTGTGGTACTTCCTCCATCCTCCCCAGTGCAGGCACACCGTGCATTCCAGCTGTTTAAGGCTGCTCCAAGTCCCTTGGATATTCCTAAAACCCAGTGAGCAGAGGTAGGATCTTGTGAGTCCCACAGAACACCTTTTGGCCTCTGCAAACCTGTCCCTCTGGAACCGTGGGAAGCCAGCCCAGTTGCCTCAGCTTCCCGGACTCTCACCTTAGGTCTCTCTTCCCTCTGGTCCTAAACCCTGTTCTCTGGGTACCCCCTTTTCCCTTTCCTAGTCCAGTAGGAATCGGCCTCTGTTTCTGGGATTGGTGTGACTTGCATTCTTTCCCTCTGGGTCCTAGGGTCCTGGCTCAATCTCAGCTCTCCCACAGAGTAGCCTGTAATTAGAATTAATAGTCTAAACCATAATGTATCCTACAGGAGGGGCTGCTTGGAAAATCCTGGATTAGGCCAACCCTAATAGGCGCCTCATCTCATAAACCAGCTAATCACTCCACAATGAGGGCTACAGGTCCACCTGCTGGCTCCCACGGGCCTTTGCTGTGCCCCTGCCACCTCCACCCAAATAACTCTTCCCTAATTGGGCCAGAGGGAAGCCAGGTGCCTTTCGAAGCTCAGGCTAAACAGCACCAGGGGGGCAAGAAGACAGCAGCGGTTACACACTCCCACTGTCTTGCTTGTCCTCTCTCCTCCTTCTCATCTTTTCAAAACACACACTGAGGTCCAAGCTCCCCAGAATGTACCCACGTAGCAGCCAGCAGTGCCTGAGTGATAAGTGAAAGGATCCTTGTGGCTGATCCTGGGCAGCTGTTTCTCCCTCTTGCTCCGCTCACCGCTGGAACTGGGAGAGGCGAGTTACAGCTGGGAACATCTGCTTCTCCTGGCTCCAGCTGCAAGCGAGCTAATGAGCTGCGCATTAACCACCCACCACCCTCCCACCTGCCCTCCACCACATGCATGCCTTACGCTTGGCTTCCTCATCACAGCTGCCTCTTACAAATAGGCTCTGGGTGCCTTCTATCGGCCCAGCTTCAGTGCTTCGACACCCCTTGCCCAATCTGTGAATTACCTAGCATAATGCAAAAGTCTGCTCCTGCCCCACGCCATCCCAAATTCCTAGTTTCTTGCCTTTTCCCAGAGCTGAGAGTAGCCATGAATGCCCCGGCTTTATAATGGAGTGAAAGCCCTTGGGAAAGTGAACTCTCTCAGGTAAGGGCCTCGTAGTCTCTTTCCTATAAAATAAGGGGTTTCAACCAAAATACAGACTTTGGGAGTTTATTTCTTACATTCATACAGCAGGGGGAATACTTAAAAATAGCTGATATTTATTTTAAAGAAAAAATAATGAAATGGGAGACTTGCCTAAACACCAGAACATACTATACAGCAACTATAATGAAAGCATGTGTCATTGCACAAGAATACTCAGGTCAATGGGACAGAATAGAAAGTTCAAAAAACAAGTCCACATATATGAGATTTTAGTATGATAACATTGGAATTGCAAATCAATGTGGAAAGTATAAAATCATCAATAAAATGACAATTGTTTGTCTATAGTTAAAATAAAGAAGGCAAAATTACATCTCCACTTCACACTATACACAAAAAAATAATAGATTCTAGGGAGATTAAAATCTAGACCTAAAAACCAAACCTACAAAATTATTAGGAGAAAATATAGAATATCTTTATAAGTTTGGAATGGGAGAGCTTCCCAAACAAACACAACTCCAAAATCATAAAGGGAAAGATTATAGATGTTATTATAGTAAAATGTTAAATAATGTCAACATCAAAGATACTATTAGCAAAGTAAAGTGGTGTGACAGACAGGGAGAAACTATTTGAAACATGCATTTCAAGAAAATGATTAATGCCTATAATATTTTTTAAAAATTCATCCAAATGAACAATCAAAAGATAATAATAGATCACCCCAATTAATTTCATTATAAATACATAAATAAAACAGTAGAATATCAGACAACAGATAATTGCTTAAAAATACAAATAGCCAGTGAATAAAAGAGAAATGTATAACCTCTCAAAGAAATGTAAATTAAAATGGCAAGAAGCTGTGTCCTGTCCATAAGATTGGCCAAAAGTAAGAAAATTATTAATATCTAGTGTTGAAGAGCTTTGGAGAAATGAGCCCTCAGGCATTGTTGGTGGAAGTATAAACTGATAAAGTCTTTTTGGAGGACAGTTTGGCACTATCTTATGAAATGTGTTTGCCCTTTGATACAGCAGTTCTATAGAGTTTTGATAGAAATCTGTACATGGTTTCTAAAAAACAAAACAAAACCCTAGAAGCTACTTAAATGTGCAACCATAGGCGAATGGTTAAATAAATTCTGGTACATCTATACGACAATTATTTTATGGATTGCTAAAAAGAATTAGGTAGATCTATATATACTCATGTGAACATTTTTCAAAAAACAAAAAGCAGCTTACAGAATAACACATGTATGTTTAAAAAAAAACCACATTTATGTTGAACACGTACACACATAGCAAAACATTCAGACACAAGCATTCAAACCCGCTGCCGAGAGTTCACATGCTTGTGAGGTACTGAAAATTGTGAAGTTTTACTCCAAATTGTTAAGAGTGGCTTCCTCTGGCAGTGGGGTGAATAGATGGTAGAACTTTCACTTTTTAATATATGCTAATTTTCATCCTTTGACTTTTTATAATAATCACATAAAGACATAATAATTAATAGCATAAACTCAGAAGCCTAGAGGGCCTGGGTCCACATCCCAGCTCTGCCTCATAATAGCTGAGTGCCTTGGGCAAGTCATTTAACTGGGCTGTGACTCAGTTTCCTCATTGGAAGTGCTTACAACTGTGACTAGCCCATGGGAAGCATGATATTAAAACTAGCCATTATTAACAAAGTTTAAAAATTCTTTTAATGTAAAAGAAATTAAGGGGGGAGGACGTCTTAGTTGCTGATTTCAATGGTGGCCATTCCTGGAACACATGTTGGAAGGGGTGAGATTCCCTTATTATTATTGTTTTTTAAAATATGTTTTTGATTTTTTTCTTTAGAGAGAGAGAAAGGGAGAGAGAGACATCGATGTGAGAGAGAAACAGATCACCTGCCTCCTGCACGTTCCCCAGCGGGGATCAAGCTGCAACCTGGGCATGTGCCCTGACTGGGAATTTAACTGGTGACTATTCAGTACATCAACCAACTGAGCCACACCAGCGAGGGCAGAGATTCTCTTATACAGAAGAGTTCTTTTTTTTTTTTTAATATACTTTATTGATTTTTTTTTTTACAGAGAGGAAGGGAGAGAGATATAGAGAGTTAGAAACATCAATGAGAGAGAAACATCGATCAGCTGCCTCCTGCACACCCCCTACTGGGATGTGCCCGCAACCAAGGTACATGCCCTTGACCGGAATCGAACCTGTGACCCTATAGTCCACAGGCCGACGCTCCATCCACTGAGCCAAACCAGCTAGGGCGACAGAAGAGTTCTTTGCTGCCTCTTGCTCTCTAAGTAGGCAGAAAGGCTTTGTGAATAAGCTTTTGCTATAAAAGTCTGTCCTTGCGGTACTTTACAGCTCTACTGATGAAATAGGTCAAAATTAGTGTTCAGACACTTGTACCTGGGGTGGGCTAACAGAAGGGACAATGGCTGGTTAGGGAGGTAAAAGGGGTATTGTATTACCTGTCCTATATCCAAATAAATCCACGACCCTAATACTTAACCTACTATCCTGGGGATGAGGGGTGGGGAGCAGGCAGGACAAATAGCATGAACCTGGGGGACTTTGACACTGACCTCCGCACCGTCAGCTCTAGAAAATGGGGGTTTGGGGAGCAGATGATGACTGGGAATGTGACTTTGACTTGCCTCTGGCAGTGGAGCAAGATGCAGCAGATGCTGAATGGGACACCCCTCTACATGTTCCAAGACTGCGCAGTACAAGGAGGAGGAGACACTGACCACTGGCTTCGTTCCAATTGGATCTACCGGGGGGAGGAGGATTTTCAAGTCTTCGTGGAGCTTCAGTTCACCATGCGGGACTGTAAGAGTTTCGGGGAAGCCGGGCCTCTGGGCTGCAAGGAGACCTTCAACCTTCTGTACATGGAGAGTGACCAGGACGTGGGTGTTCAGCTCCGACGGCCCATGTTCCAGAAGGTACTTTCACTCCTCAGTGCCATTTCGGTCCTGACTCTGCTCCCTGCCTCCCACCTTTCCATGTGCCCACTCGACTAAGAAGTAGAGAAGGTGCCAGAAACAGGAAGAGGGTCTAGGTGTCAGATAATTGAAAAGACGGTGGGACTAGAGTTTGGAGGAACTGGATTTGAGTGCCTTTTCTGCTGTGTCCCGATTTTGGGTGCATTACTTCTCTGAGCTTTGGTTTCCTTGTCTTAACATAATGATCATGGTGCCAGCCTCGTCGATTGCAGAGGCTTTGCAGGCATCCACTAAGATAACAGCATGGTGGAGGCAGGGGAGAGGTGTTTCAGCTTCTTCCGTTAGTATCCACGACATCCTTGCACGCCCTATCCCCATGAGTATTGTTAGAGTAGTGTAGGAAGACAGTCCTCTGCAGGCTCTCTCTCGTGTCACCGCTTCCTCTCCTACTCAAAAAAATATGCTGAAGTGCGGAAGGGTTAGGAGCATATGATTATAGGATGTGCTCACATTTGTTTCCCAAAGAGATGATGCTGTAAAGTTTGTTTTTAGTACTAAATTAGTCCTGACACACTTTATACCTGATCACCCCTTTGCCACTGAGGTGGGGCCACAACTTCAAATAGCAGAAGTTATATGAGCTGTAGCCCCACTGCCTAGGTTCCAAACCCAGCTGTGTGGTCTCAGCAAGGTCTCGAACCTCTCCTAGCCTTGGTCTCCTCAGCGGTTAGACGGGGATGGCTATTCATCCCGCCTCAGAGGATCATTGTTGTGAGATTGTTCCCCTGTGCCCCCACCTTTTCCCCAGGTCACCACGGTGGCTGCAGACGAGAGCTTCACCATTCGAGACCTTGCATCACGCTTGGTGAAAATGAACACCGAGCGCTGCTCCCTGGGCCTCCTGACCGGCCGCGGCCTCTACCTCGCTTTCCAAAACCCGGGGGCCTGCATGACCCTGGTGTCCGTACGGGTGTTCTACCTGCGCTGCCCTGAGGCTGTGCATGGCTTAGCCCAGTTCCCTGACACTCTGCCTAGACCTGCCAAGTTGGTAGAAGTGGCGGGGACCTGCTTGCCCCATGCCCAGGCCAGCCCCTCAGGAGCACCCCTCATGCACTGCAGCTCTGAAGGCGAGTGGTTGGTACCAGTGGGGAGGTGCCACTGTGAGCCTGGCTATGAGGAAGGCGGAGAGAGATGCCATGGTAAGGAGACTCAAGGAGGTGGTGACAACCTGCAGGGACTTGGAGGAGGGAGACACTGTCCAAGTTGCCAAGGGAGGGAGGGAAAGAGATTATTTAACTGAGTGAGTGTCTGAGGGCCCCAGAGAGACACATGCAGGGGTGTTTCCACTACAGGGATGGGGGAAGGGTGCGATTCTACCTGTAAAAACATGGGACAACCGCAGCTCTGTGCATTCTCTCTCCAGCCTGCCCAAGTGGCTCCTACCGGGCAAATGTGGACTCACCCCATTGTCTCAAGTGCCCCCAACACAGCATGGCCGAGTCTGAGGGGGCCACCTTCTGTACCTGTGAGAGCGGCCATTACCGAGCCCCTGGGGAGGGCCCGCAGGCGGCGTGCACACGTGAGTCCTGGCACAGGGCCTGGCCATCTATGAGGAGGTGCGGGACCCTTGCTCAGCCCAGGTTAGGCTGGAATTGCCCAGAGCTGATCAGGTACTGGGCACTGACCCAGTCACTTCAAGACTCTCCCCTGCCCCTGCTCCTTCTGGGAGAAAGCAGAGCCAGAGTAAAATTTCCTCAGCAGTAGTAAAATTTCCTGGTGGCCTTCGGAGGACTTCAAGAATTGGGGTGGTGGGGAGCCAGTAGCTTGGGGTCCTACTGATGGCCCCTCTTCTCCCACAGGTCCCCCCTCAGTCCCTCAAAACCTGAGCTTCTCTGTTTCGGAGGCTCAGCTCTCCCTGCATTGGGCACCCCCAGCAGATATGGGGGGGCGCCAGGATGTGAGATACAGCGTGGGGTGTTCTCAGTGTCGGGGAGCAGTGCAAGGCGAAGCCCCCTGCCAGCCCTGTGCGGGAAATGTGCGCTTCTCCCCCGGGGCCAGCGAGCTCACCATGCCTGCTGTGCGCGTCGAGGGCCTTGAACCCTACGCCAACTACACCTTTCACGTTGAAGCCCACAATGGAGTGTCAGGGTTGGGCAGCTCCAAGCCCGCCAGCGCCTGGCTCAGCATCCACATGGGGCACACAGGTGAGGGGCCTGGGGAGGGGTTGGCCCCAGAGGAAACCGCAAGAGCACATGGAGGGGCAGGAAGCCATTGAACAGCTCCTCAGGTTATTTCCTCTTTCCTTCCAAATGCACTGGCACCCTCTGGACTTACAGAGTCACCACCGGGCCTGTCCCTGAGGCTGGTGAGGAAGGAGCCCAGGCAGCTGGAGCTGACCTGGGCGGGCTCCCGACCCCGAAGCCCTGGCGGGAACCTGACCTATGAACTACACGTGCTGAACCAGGTGAGGACACAGCTGAGAGTCTCCATGTCCATGCCCTGCACACCCCAACACTCTAGCCTGGGGTGCAGGATGGCTCTCTTGGGACAAAAGCCTACACAGAGCCCTGCCATGACTACAAGACTATCCTCCCCCTCCCCATGTGCTCCCAAGACCGCCCCTCACCTCCACCATGTCTGGCTCCGCCCGGCCAGTCAACATGAGTCCCTCACCCACAGGATGAAGAAAGGTACCAGATGGTACTAGAACCCAGGGTCCTGCTGACCGAACTGCAGCCAGACACCACGTACATCATCAGGGTCCGAATGTTGACCCCGCTGGGCCCTGGCCCTTTCTCTCCTGACCATGAGTTTCGGACCAGCCCACCAGGTGGGTGGCTCATCCTTGGTTCTGCTCCAAACACCTGTCGTCCCAGGGAGGCTTCTGGGACCCTGTTCCAGTCAGTGACCCTTCCTCTCTCTCTACGCACACGCGTGTGCACACAAGCTCCACACTCACGCAGAAGCTGCTTCAGGGGAGACTCACACCAGCCCTCTCCCATGGTGATCGCACACACACCTTCCAACTCTGGATACTTCTGACACAGCACCCTCAGATCTCCTAAAGCAGTGGTTCTCAACCTTCCTAATGCCGCGACCCTTTAATACAGTTCCTCATGTTGTGGTGACCCCCAATTTCATTGTTACAAATTGAACATAATTAAAGCATAGTGATTAATCACAAAAACAATATGTAATTATATATGTGTTTTTCGATAGTCTTAGGCGACCCCTGTGAAAGGGTCGTTCGACCCCCAAAGGGGTCGCGACCCAGAGGTTGAGAACCGCTGTCCTAAAGGTTCAGTGAGTGCCCAGCCGCAGGCAGCCCAAGCCAGACCCCTGAGGGCAGCCCTTTCCACTCGCGCGCTCTCTCACACACCTGTCTCCCCGGGCTTGCCCCTCTGGTCTCCTTCATCCCAGTGGACTCTGACCCCCAGACTTCCTCACCTGTGTGCCCCAGTTTCCAGGGGCCTGACTGGAGGCGAGATCGTGGCCATCATCTTCGGGATGCTGCTGGGCCTGGGACTGCTGCTCGGGATCTTTGTCTTCCGTTCCAGGTGCTACTCCTGCCCCTCCCCAGCCACCATCCTGGGTCCCTTGTCTGGTCAGAAGGCCTTGAATGCAGCCCCAATGACCCTCCCACCCCCTAATACCAAAGCTCCACTGTGCCCTCACCTTCACCCTGCACCCTGCACTCTGGGGAAAACTCAGCCAAGGCCATTGGGCCCCTGATGCAGGACTGTGACCCTGAATAAACTGTCCACACCCCCACCCCCACCCACAGGAAACGTCGACAACTACAGCAGCAGAGGCAGCTTGATTGTGTCACCAATGTGAACAGAGGTGAGCTAGGAGCAGCTGCGCGCACGTGTGTGTGTGTGTGTGTGTGTATGTGTGTGTGTGTGTGTGTGTGTGTATGTGTGTGTGTGTGTGTGTGTGTGTATGTGTGTGTGTGTGTGTGTGTGTGTATGTGTGTGTGTGTGTGTGTGTGTGTATGTGTGTGTGTGTGTGTGTGTGTGTATGTGTGTGTGTGTGTGTGTGTGTGTATGTGTGTGTGTGTGTGTGTGTGTGTATGTGTGTGTGTGTGTGTGTGTGTGTGCGTGTGCGTGCGCGTGCACTGGCATATATGTTGGGATAGAACCGAGGAACCCAATTCTGGGGGCACAAGTGAGCTCTATTGTCTTTAGGCTTCTTGTGTTTTGCTACCTAATTAACTTTGGTTAATTAACTTTGTACTGATGGTGCCCCAGAGGCTCTGTGCAATTACCTGTTAGCTGTTGGTGCCACTGTACCAACACCCTGGCTCTAGGCAGCCTCCCCCACCCTGGTCTGGGCTGAGGCTGGGCGGAAATGGGATTGCTTGACAGGCTCCCTGAAGTCCTCCAAGGCATATGGGCTTCCTGCTGGTCACCTCATTAGGTGTCCCCAAATAGGGGGGTCAGCAGTCCATCCAAGTAGTGGGGTGGGAGTGAGGTCTGCCTGGGAATGTGAACGAGGCGTGAGTGATTGCAGGAGCATGGCAAGCAGGGGCCAAGCCAGGGCGAGGAGGAAGGCATGTGAAGCCTGGGTCAACGAGCCAGGGGAAGGCTGGGGCACTTGAGGCCGTGAACACTCTTGGGTCTGGGTTCTGGCCCGCTGCTCTGGGCCTCAGAGGGCAAGGACACAGGAGCTTTGCGCATAGACAGGAGGAAGAAAAGCTGGCTGTGGAGGCTTCCTTGCTGAGGATAGAGACTTTCTCCCACTTCAGCCAAAACAGGACTCCTCAGGGAACAAGAAGAATGAGAAGTCCGAGGTCTGCTGCCAGCCCCTCCCCCCATCACTCCTGAGCCCTGCAGTTGGCGCTTCTGTGGCCGAGCCTTTCCTGTTCTCCCCGCAGGGGACAAGCAGAGGCTGAAGCCTTACGTGGACCTCCTGGCAGAACCCATGACGACGTATGAGGACCCTGCCCGGGGGGCCCTGGACTTCACCCAGGAGCTGGATCCAGCCTGGCTGATCGTGGACACTGTCATAGGGGGAGGTGAGCTCTGCTGTTTCCTCTGGGTGGCAGCACAGAGCCACTTCCTTCTAGCCCCAGAGCTCCCAGATGAGTTCCTCTCTGCCCGACCCTGTCTTCTTGAACTGCTGTGGTCACGTACAGCCCCCTTATTGAGAGTCCTGGAATAGCCCCACCTCATACACAGCCCGCCTCTGTGGTTATGGAGCTTTTGATAAAGATCATTAGACACATCATCCTTGTCGATAGGGGAGTCACTGTGTCCAGGATCAGACTCTTCTCAGATGGTTCCCAAACCTGGGAGAGGTTCAGAGCCTCCCTCACCCCACATTGTACCCCAACAAGGCCCAGTGTCCTTGGGCTGCCCTATCCCTTGAGTCACCAGGGGAAATGGAACTGAGCAGAGAACAAAGCTTGGCAGTGTCCTTGCTGATTGTGTGGCCACGCCAGCCAAGCTTGTCCAGAGGAACTCGTGGAAGAGAGTGGCAATGGGCAGCCTCTCTGGTCACTTGTGCTCTGCCCTTGATGAACACACCCCAGTACCATAGCACAGCGCTCACTGACCCAGCCTTTACAGAGCACCTACTGTTCTCCAAGAACCGTGCTAACCCAGGAGACAGTGGGTTAGCTGAACAGGTTATAGAAATGTACTTCTGTCCTGGACTCCTGTCTCCTTCCCCAGGAAGTATAGCCTAGCCCTTGTCCCAGAAAGGGCATACCAGGTTTCTGATCCAGAGAAGAAAAGAGAGCTGGGGGACTAGAGGATGTCATCCATCCCCCTGATAGTGCACTGGGCCATGATCCTGTTTCTTTTTCCACCCAGGAGAGTTTGGGGAAGTGTATCAAGGGACCCTGAGAATCCCCAGCCAGGACTGCAAGACGGTGGCCATTAAGACCTTGAAGAACACGTCTCCAGACGGCCAGTGGTGGAACTTCCTTCGAGAGGCAACAATCATGGGCCAGTTTAACCACCCGCACATTCTGCACCTCGAAGGCGTTGTGACAAAGAGTATGAGGATTGGTCTCCAGGAGTGGGGGTTGCGGGGAGGGGAAGGGGGGGTGAGATCACAGGAAGTGGAGGGAAGCTGTTTTGCCAAGGGTAGAAAATCTGGTTCTGGTGGTTTTGGGTGGAGATGGGGATGAAGGCTTCCACGGTGACCTGCTTTGTGTCTCAGGAAAACCCATCATGATCATCACGGAGTTTATGGAGAACGGAGCCCTGGATGCCTTCCTGAGGGTGAGGAGGGCAGAGGACCAGCTGGGAAGGGGGGTGCACCATGAAGCCCTGGGTATTGACTCCTGGTCTGGGAAGAGGCAACCCTGCCCATTCCCTAACCCGCCCCTTCACCCTGCTGCAGGAGCGGGAGGACCAGCTGGTCCCTGCACAGTTGGTGGCCATGCTGCTGGGCATTGCATCTGGTATGACCTACCTCAGTGACCACAATTATGTCCACCGGGACCTGGCAGCCAGGAACATCTTAGTGAGTCAGAACCTGTGCTGCAAGGTGTCTGACTTTGGCCTTACCCGTCTCCTGGACAACAAGGATGGTACCTACGAAACTCAGGTGAGAGCCCTTTATTCACCGTATACACATTTGCACACACTATTTTATTCCATGTATATAGGCACTCCTATACAACAAATACAGGACGCATGCTCCTGTGGACACAATGACTTCATGGTGGCCATCCTCCATGCCCTGAAACATATCACTTTTCTGTCCTACATGCCCTATTAGGGAGGAAAGATCCCCATCCGTTGGACAGCACCTGAAGCCATTGCCGATCGGATCTTCTCCACGGCCAGTGACGTGTGGAGCTTTGGGATTGTGATGTGGGAGGTGCTGAGCTTTGGGGACAAACCCTATGGGGAGATGAGCAATCAGGAGGTGAGCCCGGGTACTCCTCACAGTGGTCTTCTCTCCAAATTCTCCTATGGCTCTTCCTGCACATATCCTTATTTCTTCTTCCTCACCCACAGTTTTTCTGCACTTCTGTCCCCTCTGGTCCCCTTTGCCTCACACCCTGTTCTTACTAGTGCTCAGGGGTGAGGATGAGGGAGGTTAGAGGCTCCTTTGCAATGATCTTGCATGAACAGAGATTTCTTAAGGGCTGCCAGGTTAGCTTCCTACCTCGGGCCTCCCTCGCCTCTCCCTTGCTGTAGGTAATGCAGAGCATTAAGGATGGGTACCGGCTGCCCCCTCCTGTGGATTGCCCTGCTGCTCTCTATGAACTAATGAAGAACTGCTGGGCCTACAACTGTGACCATCGGCCCCACTTCCACCAGCTAAAGACACAGTTGGAGCGATTGCTGAACACCCCCCACACCCTGCGGACCATGGCCAACTTTGATCCCAAGTAACCACGCTGGGGAGGACAAAGGGATTTAGAGGGCAGATCTAGAATGAAAACGGGCATTCAGCCACATCCACCAAGTGCTGGGCCTGCAAACCTCCGGACAGAGTTCAGCATAGGAGGCATAACCGCAGTGTGCAACCCGGGGGAGTGGCCACCTTGATGAAGATTTGGTCCCAGCCTTGACAGCTGTAGTTTGATAGAAGACAGGAAGCAAACAGTGAGATGGGAAGCAAATATAAGCAGGGCTTACACCTGACACCTGCTCCAGGGAGCTTGGTCACTTAGATTGGGGTGGGGAAGACAGAATCTGTTAAGTGATGGACAGTAGACTGAGTTTCCTAACTGCGAAGGGCAGCCTTGTGGGGTCTGGAAAGACTCCCAGATCATGTGCCAAGCATGGGTTTGGGGAGCTGTGGGTGGGCTGATTGCAAATAATGTAGGGTGACAACAGCACCCAGTTCAGGAATAGTGGTCAGAGATGAAGCTGGAGAGGTAGGAGGGTCAATACAAGGAAGGTCAGTACAAGCTCCACTAAGAAATTTGGACTTTATCCTGAGCACAGAGAACTACTGACCAGTTTTTTAAAAACTGCCAATGAGAGGAACATGGTCAGAATTGCATTTTACCAAAAACATTGGCAGGATGTAGAGAAGGAACTGGTGGGGCCAGGGAAGGTGGGGGAGACGGGCAAGGCCGGACTTCACATGCTTTATCGGGTAAACCAGCCCTGGCGTACTGGCCTCAGTATCAAACCACCATATATAACCTTGTTTCTGGGAGAAAATGTGCTCCAAGTTCCAACTTTTGCAACTATCTTTTGGAGCACAACTCCCTCGTACACTGGAGACTGCATGTGCTAATCTTTCTGGAATGTTGGATATGTTTCCCCCAGTAGATTTACTTTGCTAATGGTTTTTGGCTCTGGCTGGCTTTCGTACAGGAACACTCATTGTATTGTGGGTGTCAGAGTGCAAGAGTAACAGCCAAGGTTGGAGGTGGCCATCAGGGCTGCTCCCAGAACTCAGGGGGCCACCCTGGAGGCAGGACCACACCCGGTTCCAGGCCTCTGCTCCTTCTCAGCTGGGATAGTTGATACATTCCCAGAACTGGCCACTCCAGTGGAGATGGGCTGATGGTAACCTTGTGTTAGAACTTTTCGGGGCTGCCACCTCCCCCATTACTGTCAGCCTGCCCTCTGCTGTGAGTGCACCAGGAAACAGGCCAGGAAATGGGTTCACAGACAATGGCCTGGCTAATCCACAAAGTCTAGATAATCTCTGTGCCCAGACATCAATTTGAATGCTGGCCCCAGATGCTCACAGGCTAGGCCCAGGTTTCAGGAAAGCAGAAGACAGCCCTCCCCGCCCCTCACATGACTGAGGTAGTCCCCATCCCATCCCACAGGGTAACCCTTCGCCTGCCCAGCTTGAGCGGCTCAGACGGGATCCCCTATCGAAGCGTCCCCGAGTGGCTGGAGTCCATTCGCATGAAACGCTACATTCTGAACTTCCGCTCAGCTGGGCTGGACACCATGGAGTGTGTACTGGACCTGACGGCCGAGTGAGGACCCTGGGGACCCGGCAGGGGAGGGTTGCTGGGGTTTGAGCCCACATACTCACGAACCCCTTTCCTTGACCACAGGGACCTGGTGCAGATGGGGATCACGCTGCCAGGACACCAGAAGCGCATTCTTTGCAGTATTCAGGGATTCAAGGACTGAGCCCTCCCCTCCCCGCATCCTGTCCTCAGGAAGCAAGGATGGGGCCAGGGTCACTCAAGTCCTTTCCCTCAGCCTACCAGGCCTTGGTGCTGCTCCGACCCATGCTTCCCTGAGGAACTTGCCTTTGGAGCCTGGGAGCCTCTTTGTTTTCAAAAGGGAGGTTGGGGTATAAGTAAAGTCATCGTGCTGGGAGGAGGGTTTAATATATATATAGGTACACACATATATATTTTTATAAGTAAACAGGAGCTGAATTTTCACCTGGACCCCTGGTTTTTTTTAATCCCTCAGTCTCCTCCATCTGTAGCACAAGAGTCAACTGCTAAGAATTCTGGAAAACAAGGTTTTTTATTTGTAGCTGTAACCACAACCTGGCAGCATGGTAGCAGGTAGGAACGCCCAGGTCCAGGCTAGTCAGCCCAGCCCAGCCCAGCCCAGCCTCCCCGGCCCTCAGCAAGCAGAGTAG